TGTGTGTGTGTGTCTCTGTATGTGTGAGTGTGTCTCTCTGTGTGTGTGTGTGTCTGGGTGTCCCATGTGTGTGTGCGTGTGCGTGCGTGTGTCTGTCTGTCTCTGTCTGTGTGTGTGTGTGTCCGTGTGTCTGTGTGTCTCTGTGTGTGTGTGTGTGGCTGGGTATCTGTGTGTGTGTCACACAGTGTGTGTGTGTGTGTGTTTGTTTGTTTGTTTTTGTGTTTGTGTCTGTCTCTGAGTCTGTGTCACAGTGTATGTGACCTGTGTGCGGGTGTGGGTGTGTTGGTGTGTGTGTGTGTGTGTGTCTGTCAGTCCGTGTTGGTCATGTTGTGTACTGTAGACCCTCCACAACCCCGAAGCCCACAAAAAAGCAAACAAACATACGACCATGCCATGCATTACGGAGGACCCCGTTAAACCTAAGACCTATAAGAGATAAACCTAAGAGAAACTCTAGCATGATTTACCGTTTGATTTGCGCTATAGTCCTTAATCAAAGGTTTTTGGCACCGAGGACCCACCGTTTCCTTCCTACTCTGCCCGAAAATCACGGCTCCGAATAGGACTTTGACAGATTTACATGCTAATCCCGAACCCGAAACCCTTGATCAAAGCATCATTCTGGTTGGGAGTCAAATAGACTTCAAGAACTAATGGGTTTAGGATTTAAGGTTCAACTCGTGCCCTGTCCGACAAATAGAAATGTAAACGTGGGCTCGCAAGCTTTCCTTGAGGTGTCGTCAGTGGGGCGTTTGGTTGTTGTCTTGGGTTTAAGGGTTTTTCCTGGACTTCCCGATTCTATGTTTCTGTTCGTGGGGTTTAGGATTTAGGGTTCAGGGGTGGGTGCAGCTTCAAGGAGCCAGAGTACAGGAGCTTCAATGACGAGTCATCCCAAAGCAATGTGTCCTCGATGCTCTCAGCCGAGCGACCCAGGGCAGGCTCACCACCGATCCTCCCCATAGCCTGCAGTATTTTCCCAGCCATGGCTGCATATTATTCTATCGCAGCAGCTTCGGCAAACGTACCAGGTCCCTTTGGTGCCCGGGTTTGCACGCTTCATCAGTCTTTGCCCTGTGGGGAGTTGGCCCGCGCGGTCCTACGCCTGAAACCCCGCACCCTAAATCCCTCTTACAAACCCGAAACCCTGAAGCCTAAAGCCTAAAACCCTTTGTAAACCCTGAATGAAGCATGATGCCAAGGTCAGCCCTTGGGATGGATGCCACCGATGGCAGCCCCGGTCCTTCCGGAGCACACGCCAAGCCAACACCCGGTCACATTCCCATTCCCGTGGCCTCGCAACATTCCTCCGCCGCCCGGCCTAGAGATTCTAGGAGTGACTGAGCCACGTGCTCAGCCCCGGCCAACACATAGCATCCCCAGTCTGTCGGCCTGGCAATATTCCTCCAGTTCCAGAAGTGCCTGAGCCCAGTGATGCCAACTTACGATTTGGCATCGGCAGTTTCGGGCACCCACACTTTTGCAACAGACCATGCGTGCACATCTCCAAGAGTGGAGTGTGCCCATCGGGAACAGAATGCGCCTACTGCCATTTCCCACACCGTGCGGTTTGCAAGCCAGACGGGCAGCTTCGCCGGCGTATCTTGGATGCAAGCGACCAGGAGCTTCTCGCGACCTTCCTGCCCTTCATCTTCAAGAAGGCGGCCTAAACCCTACACCCTATAAGCCCTATAAGCCCTATAGACCCGAAACCCCAGCACCCCTCAAGGCGGCGATTGAAGGCCTCCTTCCGCGCGTCGGCGGCTTGCTCCAGCTGCTCCAGGGGGAAGTCTACGAACCGCAGTCCAAGGCCGTTCCCCTAGGGAAGTTTCGACCGATGAGGATGTCATTCATGCACCTTGGCTAGGTTTTAGAAGCTCAGGGATGGTGCAAGGCTTCAGTATCGAGATCTTTTCCATGTCGCTCTGCGCATCTCGCAGTTGTTGGGGAGGCTGGGGAAGATCCGTCGGATCGGTGTGAGAGCTCAGGCATCTCGTTGAGAGCTGCATGCACCGGCTACCTCCTCATATCCGAGCCGAAGTAAATCGCATCAAGTCGGAGCTCCCTCCTCCCGTTGTCACGCTGCCAGGCTGCAGTATTCAGGCCATTCTCTGACTGCGCAAGGATTTCATCCTGTGGATTGCATGGCAATCTCACAAAGAGGATCTTTCGAGCTCTCTCTCTTTCTATTATATATATATATATACACATACATATGTATGTATGTATCTCCCTCTCTCTCTCTCTTTCTCTGAGTCTCTCTCTGCCTATCTCTCTCTCGCCCTCTCTCTCTCTCTCTCGCTCTCTCTCTCGCTCTCTTTCCCTCCTCCTTGTGCCTGCGTCGCGTCGCTTCCTCTGTCTGTTCTCGGTTTGCATTATAATATCTGCTTCCCTCTTGTTGCTATTGCTTGAACTGTTTTTTTTTTTCATCTTGCCACTGCTACGGCGACAAGCGACTGGATACTGCTGTATCCTTTTTCGAAAGACGCTCTGCAAAGGCATGGCGGAGCGGGACCATCTCTCATGATGTAGACGAACTGAGCTGATGGGCGGAAGTAGATCAGCATTCTTCCGGTGCTTTGTTATGCCTGTCGGGCCGACTAAGGCGACGAATTAGGGATGGCCTTGTTGGTTGAGTGTGGCAGCCTTGGTGGTTTCCTGGAAGCCCGAACCCTGGACAACTCCTACAGCCATTAAATCAAGATGCTTCAGAAGATGAGTTTGTATTTGGGGGTTAGGATTTACGCGTTTCGAGGTTTAGTTGAATCCGGTTTTGGGTTGCCGTCTATCTTGCAAGGGGACATGGGGAGGTGTAGGATCCCTGTACCTCAACCTCATTAAATCTGAGAGACTCTTACGTTGGCTTTTCATCGCGAGACCCGACACATGATCTACCCATACCGATCAGGGGAAGTTTGGAGGACGTGCACGGCACAGGTTCCTCCAGTCAGTGTTTTGCGAGCGGGGTTTAGGATTTAGGGTTCGTGAGGGAAGTTGATGCCTCCAAAACCCAAGTTGGAGAATGACACCAGGTTTTTCAGTTTTAAGCGATGGTATTTCAAATAATGCAGACAGGTTGATCACCTAAAGGGAACTTCTAGGGACATATATTATATGTATGCGGCCCATATACATGTACACACATATACATATGCATATGCATATACATATACATATACATATACATATACATATACATATACATATACATATAATGTGCTACCCCCCACTTCATACATACATACATACATATATATATATATATAGAGAGAGAATTGATTTTTTATTTATGCATATGCAGCTTGAGTAATCATTCTTCGGTCCGACAGCAGACAGAAGCGTCGGGAGTCGTTGTTTCCGTCTCGGAAGACGTCTACGGACAGCAGCCAGTCGCCAGTTCCGCAAGCAACTGCAAGGACAGCTGGCCTCTCTCTGACCCTGTGCTCGTTGCAAAGATGTGGTTTAGGCCTTATGGGGCTTTACTGATTCACCAAGCAATGTACATGCCGGCACTTTCAAGAGTTCATCGTGGGCCGGAGCCGCAGAGGAGCATTGTCCTGCAGCATGCCGATGCCGCGCATGCTAGCTCACCTGTTTGTATTTCGAGGATGTGATGACAATGTTCGTTCTTCAGTACATCATAGTAATATCATCATCATCATCATCATGAGGAGTAGTGTTAGTTGTGTCTGTATGAGTTGTATTATAAGGATTTGCCGACTCAAGAACTCGAGCCGCAGATGACCTGCGGTCGAATTGAGTATTTCCCAAGCTGCTGAACCTTGAACTACCAAAACCTGCGTTTGTTATAAGATATTAGGGCTTAGAATAAGAACCTATAGAAACTGGATTGGTAATTTATGGTAGGCAAAAGGATTGCAGGTTGGGAAACTCGCCCGTCTAGTCGGCCAGTGTGAACTTAAGAATCTGTTGTTTCACACCCTGCTGCCTGAGCTCATCGTTTAAGCCGAGCACAGTCACAGATCTGTATTTAAGATGGTCCTTGCTTGAAACCTCAATGATCCTCAATGCCTTCGCTGATCTGAGCTGCTCCGCAGGGTTTCCCTACAACTATCTTCGTGTCCCTGTAGGCAGACCTGCCATTTCAGTGATCGCGTTGAGGTTTGTCCTGTTGCTTTCGATTTCTGACAACCTCAGTCATGAGGTCGTACACCTTTTTTTTCAGCTGCGCAAGATGCCCATGCATGAAGCGTAGAAGTTACGCACTCCCAGCAGCAACATGGTCCGACTCTCGAACTTAGGATGTCATCTCATGACGTCGACGCTGCTGTATGCCAGAATAAGCGACGACTCGGGCCTTCCCCTTGTTTTGGAAGGTCATGTTGTTGCCGGTCTGTACACTCTCCCAACATGTCCCTGTCTCTGGGCCCGTGCAGGGCTCTGGATGTTACGATCCATGAGTCAGCTCCGGAGATAGGGCTCTAAAATTACATGCTTCGTGAGAAGAGGAAAGTGCCCGGCTGCCTGGCAATCTGCTGGGGGTCTCCTATGCAGTATTGCAACCCTACAGCCCCACAACCTGAGCTAGACAGCTCAAAAAAGGTTGAGGGTGAAGTTTGCACACTGGCCCTTCAGAGACCCCTACACAGAATCCTACAGAGAACCCTACAGAGAACCCGGGCACACCTGCAGAAGCAAGCACCAAACAGCACATGACACGAGGTATCATTGTTATGAAGCAAAGGAACTTTTCGGGTAAAGCCCTATATTATTACCGCATCTGCTTGGACTCGCTCTGCACGCATCGGCAGCTTGCAAGTCTCGTCATCTCCCGGCGAACCTCAGACAAGACCCATGCACAGTTTGCACGAGGTTTTCAACTCACTTTGGGACACTCTTGACTTGAATGTCCATGGTGTATATGGATATTGACTCATAAAAAGCACGGCTACGTTTTGTAGCCCTAAAGAGCAGGGTCGGCAAACATCTGAGTCACACCAAGCCAAGCTGCAAGGCGGCATGACATCCTCAGCCCTCCATCCTTCAACCCTAAACCCCCCCCAAAAAAAAACCAAAAAAGAACTCATGCACCACACCCTCTAGTTATCCTTAAGCTCCTGAACCCTATGAGTATCCGAGCCTGAAGCTTCCGAGCCCTTGAGACCATGGCGCCGGGGAGTCCCCTCAGCAGCATGGAAGACCGCGCTTTGCCGAGCCCGCCGAAACTCTCGCTGCCCGCCAGCCCTGGGATAGCGACTGGGCACTGGTCTGACTGGTTTAGGGTTTAGGGTTTTGGGTTTAGGGGTTTAGGGTTTAGGGGTTTTTGGGTTTTGGGTTTAGGGGGTTGAGGGTTAAGTTTAGGGGTTTAGGGGTTTAGAGTTTAGGGTTTAGGTAGGGAATGGGGGAATGGGTTATTGGGACTACTACAGGGGACCTTAAGGGACTATCATAGGGATCCATTCCCCCATTCCCTACTGAGAACCCGGGAGTGGTTTGGGTGTCTAGGGTATCTAGGGTGTAGGGCTGCGATCCTCCAGGGATTGCATACCGGATTAGAGTTACGGCTGGGGTTTGGGATTGAGGGTTTTGGAGCCAGTGTTCACAGCAAAGGTTTAGGATTTATATACATATATATATAATATATAGAGTTCCGATAATTTTACGGTCTAGTGTTTGCGATGGTTCTTCACTTTCTGAAGCCGTTTGTGATTGAGTCTCCCAGAAGCCATTTCAACTCTCCCATGCAAGCCGAAAGCGGAACAAAAGATTGAATCACATCAGACAAGTAACATAGGGGGTAAAATACTCTTTCGGGGTTCCTTCGTATGCTAATTCTTAAGGCCTCTAAAATACGACAACCAAAGAAGCACGACAAGCCCAGATAAACTCTCGCCTCCGGTCTGGGTGAAGCTTAGGTCAAGCATCAGGGTAACTCCAGAAGCTATCGGAACCTGCAAGCATCTAGGCTTGATGTGTGAATATTACCCTGTATATTGCTCCGTAGCGAAACTCTGGCATCCCTCTACATAGAATTCTCTATTCTTCCCCGCCCATGCTTCACCCCTTCGCTCCCAAGTAGAGAAGCCGTAAAGCGTATGAGGAAATGGCCCATTTCGATCTGGAGTTGCGGGAGCTGCTGGAGAAGTTGCACCGGGAAGTGATACAACGCTTCGACAAGCAGGAGAGAGTTTCCGGATTTAGGGGACCCTAATATAGTACCCCTAAACAGTAGGATCCTTAGTATAAGGACCCTAGAGTGAGTTATTTTATAGTACCCTAAATAGTAGGATCCTTAGTATAAGGACCCTAGAATGAGTTACCCCTTGTCTTCGGAACAGCTGATTTCCTGCTAGACCCTAGCAGGAATGATTGAATCAGGGGGGTTTGAGCCGGAAATGATGATCAAACTGATGATTGAATCCAGTATGAAGAAAATGAAGAAAAAATGATGATCAAAATTATGATTGAATTAAGGGGCGAAAGGAGTGAAGGAAAAAGGAAGCTAGAAATGAAGATTAAATGAAGAAATTATTCAAGGATTTACGATCTCTCCATGCCTGAGAATCTCAAAATGCTAAGGCCTTTACGGTCGAGGGTCTTGGCGCTCAGTTCGTTGTTGTTCTTCCGGTTTCGTGGGAAAGCAGAATACTATATGATGCACCAGTGGCATTATTTACGGTGCATTCCGGCACTTATCCTGAGCTTTTGCTGTCTAGTCGCCTCGTTGACGAAACCAGACACTACCATCGAAAAGCGTCATCAACTTTGCCCTGGCTCACGGGCAGTCCTCTAATTTAGGGTCCCTTTTA